TACCGGGCAGCTGGCTAGGGTTGTGCAATGCCCTAATGAGGAGCAGGTAGCAGCTGGAATGAGGGTGGCCAAGTATCTTGGCCAAACACCGACCGTTGGGCTGCAATACTCGGCGGCGGCACAAAGGCGCCAAAAGGGCGCGGATGGTGTTGAACCCGGGCGTTTGTTCCTCACCGCCTACTCGGATGCTTCATATGCATCAGAACCAGAGGACATGACAAGTGTGGGAGGCTTCATATGCTGTGTTGGTGGAGGCCCAACTGCTTGGGAGAGCAAGAAGCAGGTTGACCAAGCTTTGAGCTCGGTGGAGTCCGAGTACATGGCACTCTTCCGTGCCGTACGGGAGATTGTGTGGCAGCGGCGTTTGTTGGCTGAATTGGGGGAGGAGCAGCAAGGACCTACCCCACTCTACTGTGACAGCCAGGGTGCCATTGCTCTTGCTAAGAACCATGTGTTGCATGGACTCACGAAGCACATGAGGGTGAAGTGGCATTGGACGAGGAGCATGGTAACCGCGGGTGAAGTTGAGTTGCGCTACGTGAAGACCACGGGGCAGCCGGCTGACATGATGACCAAGAGGCTGGTGGAGCAGCAGCATTGGAAGTGTTGCAAGCTGGCTGGGATGGCTCTGAACTGAGAGAGCAACATATCCTAAGGCCAACAATCCGAGGGGGAGTTTGTTGGTGCAACCCTACGGTTTGCACTCGGCTTGTTGTCCGTGTGCGTGAATGTGTGTGTGTATGGAATGGTATGAGGGCATGGGATAATATATATTTCATGCTTATAATTGTGTGTGAATGTTGAGTCATGATGTCGAGTGTGTGTGTCGAGTCAATAGCGAGTTATCGCTAGACGCGTGTTACGCGGTCGTTTGTGTCTCGCGCGCGGTTTCTATTTTGTCGTGCGCGGTTTCTATTTTGTCCTGTGTCGAACGTTCGGCGTGTCGCAGGTGTGTGCAGCAGACCCATCAAGAACTCAAGGATGAGTTTGTGATGAAGAGCCCGAGCCTTGGTGTCAAGCCTCGAGTGATTTCGAAGCTTGCCAAAAGGGTACACCTCAAGATATTGAAGATAGTTACATTACTTTGTGTAGTGTAACATTTCACTTGGTGTAGGCCCTAGTGAAGGGTAGTTTCGAGACCCTTCGTGGTTGGGGACAGTGTGGCACTGTTCCACATCACTGTACCTCGGCTCTTGGGGTTTGTAGGAGCTGGGAGTCATTCCCAACTCGTAACTCTTCCTATCTTGTGTTCTAAGACTATAGTGGCTGCCATAGTACCGTTCGTTCAAACCGACGCTGTGTCGTCAATTCTTTATCAAATCGTGCAATCTAAACTGCTAATTGTAGACGACGTGAAGACGCTCCAGATCCAATTTGAATCGGGTCATTTGCAGCTGTGAGCAGAACGCTATCAACGTTTGAAGCCGCTGTGCAGAAATCCGTCTGTGCTCTCTATCTTTCGTTTTAGGCACATTCAAGCCTATTGTGACTATAACAGTTTCGTGAAATCACTCGGCTGCTCTGCTCCCTCTACCACTGAAATGTCTACTGCGTACACGTCGGCTCCAGCAGCGACAGTCCGTTTCATGGTGACGGCGTTGACGTGTACCGTTGAAGACTCAGGCAACTGCCAGCGAGGTAGCTCAACCCAGCTACCGCTACTTTGCACAGTGCAGCTACCTGTCGTCCAGTCAATTCGCGGGTTATACCGTCGCAGCCAATCACGTCCCAATAAAATGACGTGTCCATCTAGGGTGGTCGCGAGCATTTCCTGTGTAAATCCGAAATTTCCCCCGCAGCGGACTTTGACTCTCTCCACCCTTTCCCGTATGGCCAGTGGCGTGCCGTCAACTAAGCGTGCGTCTATCTCAAGTAAACAACGGCTAAGTGTCAGTTGCAGTTTTCGTGCGGTTGCGGTATTAACTAAACTGTGACTTGCTCCTCCGTCGATAAAAATCTTCACTGCTGCTCCTTGTATTTTCCCGTGGATCAGTACTGGGCAATCCGTCGCTGTACCCTCCTTATTCGTCCGAGCCCGATCGATAGCATGAATCGGTACTGTGACTCGGTGAGGGTCGGTGGGGTTGGGCGAGCAGGCAGTCTCGTCAGTAGTTGGCCCGATTCCTACTGACTGCTGGCGTTTCCTTGCCTTGGAGACTCCCTCCCCTGCTCTGCTCCGCGGCGCCTCAGCTCCTCTGGGCATTCACTCTTGCGATGGCCCGGCCTATTGCAAGCAAAGCAGCGCCCCTTAAACGGTGCGGCAGCTGCATTCGTCGCAACGGCGTGTACGGTGGCGTGCTCGATCGGTCCCCAAGGACGATGTCCGTAGTAGGACCCCGATCTCGGACGGCGCAAAATGTCGATTTTCTCGGCGAGCGCGAGAATCTCGTTGAAGTTCGAGAGCCCGCGTAGCATGATCTCGTGCGAGATGTCCGGCTTCAGCCCTCCGACGTAACGGTCCACCCGCTCCGCCTCGTACATGTAGCCGACTTGCTTGCATAATGCGAGAAAACCACTCGTGTAGTCTTGAACCGACCCGAGCTGCCGCCAAGTACGCAGTTTCTGACGCGCCGAAATAGAAGCCGCGATTGGCTCGAAGCGCGCCCGAAGCCCTGCGCACCACGCATCCCACGTGTTGTACTGGGCGGTTTCGCAGAATGAACTCCAAGTGACAGCTGGACCCGTGGGCCCTTCCTCTTGCGACGGTGGCTCGTAGGCGCATGGCGACGTCACGATGACTCGCCACCAGTCCATGGCGGGGCCCCTCAGCAGCGAGACGGCGTATCTAATCTTTGCTGCGTCCGACTCGACGTAGTTTGCGTCAAAAAGTACGTTCATCGTGAAGACCCACGACTGAACCGTCGGACCTCCACGCTGACTTGGGTCGAAACAGGGCGGGCGCTGCGGCTTGAGTGGCATTGGTGCCATGATGGCCTGGTCGTCGCTTGTCGCCGCGAACTCCACGTGCCGACGGGCTTCACGAGGCTCCCGCGGGCTTAGCGCGACCCTGTTTCTTCCCATGCCCGGCATCGGTTGGGCGGCGCCATCACTGGCTGCGCCTGAGCGCTGTCCCACGCTGTCATTCTGTGTTGGTGTGCCTGATGAAACGACGATCGGCTCCTCCGATTGTGCAGGTGCATTTGCAGGTGCGTGTGGTGGCGCCGGAGTATTCACCGTAGATTGCTGACGCGCGGAGTCATGTTCCGCCGTGAGCGTCGCAATTTCGAGCGCCGATTCTTCAACTTGGCGCACGAGACGGTCGAGTTGCTCCTGTGTCAGTGTCGCGAGAGTAAATTCGGCCATGGCGGGGGTGTCGGGCAAGCTCAGCGAGAGCCTCTGTCGTGGCCGTGCGTGCTTACGAGAGAGCACTACGAGCGGCGGTGCTGTGTCGCCGAGAGACGTCTACCCCCCCAAAAAATTGAGATAGTGGGGAAGCGAAGGTGTGGGTGCGGTCCGAGAAGAGATCGTAGGCTCTGAATACCAAGTGTTACGAGTGCAATTGAGTGAGCGAGCGAGAATTGCACTATCGAAGCAAGAGTACAATGAGCGAAGGCATGAGCGAAGAATATATAGCGAAATTACAGTGGTAACGGTAATGGACTGTGGTTGTCGCGCGACGGGCCTGGGACTGAGGTTGGGGAAAATGTCGAAGCGGAGGCCCGGAGCGCGGATTACCCGCCGAGCCGTGAGGTCGGGGTGCGACGTGCGAAGGTGGCGGGAAGATTGTCGATGCGAGGGTTGCGAGTGGTAACGGTGCTGACTGTGGTGCTACAGTGGTGTACGCGCTGAGCGGGGACGCGAAGTAAGGAAAAGGAATTTTCCTTACAGCAGTGCAGGCACACTTTGTTCGTCGTAAGAGTGGTCATTTGTGTGAAACCTTTGGATTGGCCAAGGAATCTCTCCATGTGACACACTTATCGCATTGGGTTGGTGGGAATCGCAGGTTGGCTGTGCGCGAAATGTTCTCTTGCTCGCGGATGGATCTTGATCTCGCCAAAGCCACACTGCCGAAATAGGTTTCGCACACCCTCCTTTTGTACTAATTCAAGCCTCACATAACTTGAAAATTTACCATGCTGACTCCGGGATTTAACGAGTAGCTGCAATACGGAAGAGTATCGTGTGAATTTCTCCCTCGATGAAATTTCGCGGTACATTCAAAAGCAATCTGCCGAGATTTGCCCCCTCCCACTATTTCGCTGTCGCCACGTGCAGGTGAATCTTCCGCTACAAGTGGCAAGAGAGGGGGCGATGAAGTTCGAGGCCGAAGCTCACATTCGCGCCTCAAGCAGTGATGCTAAAACGACCACCAAAACACCCACATTGACTAAAATATGCCATATGTAAAGACCCGGGTATTATGTATTTTTTTCCTATGAGGAGACCCCCCCCATTTTTTCCCTGTATTTTTAGCTATACCCTAGGGTGTTATGTCCGGGAGAATACGACTGCAAGTCATTGGAACCAAGCTGCAGCACAGATTCACAAAAATCCATTTTAGATGTGATCAGCCCATGTGCAAATGCCGTACCATTCAAATCATGATCTTCACATGCAAACTGAAACCTTTCACATTCTGTCAATGCCTAGCAGCATCACCGGCAACAGCATCACCAGCAGCAGCATCACCGGAAGCAGCATCACCAGCAGCAGCATCACCGGCAGCAGCATCACCAGCAGGAGCATAATCAGGAGTACCATTACCAGCGGCACCCGCCCTGCCATCCAGCCTAGTGCTTTCACATGCGGACAGAAACTGTCCACAATCAGTGAATGCTGTTACCCCAGCGCCACTACCACCACCAGCACCACCAGCGGCATGGTCACTGGCATCATCATCATCATCAGCAGCAGCCGGCACATTCAGGTCAGGGACGGCAACGCCAGCAGCCAGGAACGCAGGGCGTGATAGTGGCGCTCACACTGAACGCACTCTGACACACGCCTCTGCCACCTGCCTCCCACCCTCTGCTCCACACGCGCTGCCGTGGTTGATCGGCTCAGGCGACTTTGAGTCGACTCAAAAGGCACCCACGCTGAACGCACTCTGACGCACGCCCCTGCCGCCTGCCTCCCACCCTCTGCTCCACACGCACCTCTCCCACCCTCTTCTCCACACGCACCTCTCCCACCCTCTTCTCCACACGCACCTCTCCCACCCTCTGCTCCACACGCACCTCTCCCACCCTCTTCTCCACACGCACCTCTCCCACCCTCTTCTCCACACGCACCTCTCCCACCCTCTTCTCCACACGCACCTCTCCCACCCTCTTCTCCACACGCACCTCTCCCACCCTCTTCTCCACACGCACCTCTCCCACCCTCTTCTCCACACGCACCTCTCCCACCCTCTTCTCCACACGCACCTCTCCCACCCTCTTCTCCACACGCACCTCTCCCACCCTCTGCTCCACACGCACCGCCGTGGTTGACCGGCTCAGGCAACTCATTCGGCCTCGAAAAGTCCAGAGGCAGAAGGAGGGAGAGCCCTTGCGGGTGCGGCTGCGGCAACGGCAGGGGTAGGGGAGAGCTTGGCGTGGAAGTATGCCGCCCAGCTGGGCCGAGGAGAGGTGCTGCTTGCACTGACCGTGCCATGGCTGCTAAGGCAGTGAAACGCTGGCAAGACTGCGCTTCTCTCTGGGCGGCTAGTAGCGGTGGGCTGACTTGGTGCAGCAGCGTGCTCTCAAGCTTACCACTGCCACCAAATCGTTCTTCACTCCATCCGTAGTGCAACGGCCATCACCGTCAGCAGTAGCACCATGATCGCGCTTCCGCTTCCTTGCTACTGCCTCTTGCTCCTCCACCTTCCCACGTGCCTGCTGTGTGCACTCCTCTCTCTCTCTCTCTCTCTCTCTCTCTCTCTCTCTCTCTCTCTCTCTCTCTCTCTCTCTCTCTCTCTCTCTCTCTCTCTCTCTCTCCCTCCCTCCCTCCCTCCCTCCCTCCCTCCCTCCCTCCCTCTCTCTCTCTCTCTCTCTCTCTCTCTCTCTCTCTCTCTCTCTCTCTCTCTCTCTCTCTCTCTCTCTCTCTCTTTCTCTCTCTAGTGGTCCGTGTATTGATAGTCAAAGGGAGTACAAGCATGCAAGGTGGGGCAGCAAAGAAACAAACAAGGAAATAAACAAGGACTAACTACCAACAACAACCAGCCCATCTAGAATTCTACAATGGGCTCGAGAATTCTCAAAAACCACCATGATGCGAGAATTCTCAAAAACCACCATGATGCGTGATCCCATGATGGAGCTTGATAGTACGACGCGGCGAGTCCGCGAGGCTCGAGCCGTGTGGACGGGTCCTTGCGACAGTGCCACTGTCATGATGCGACTGGGACGAATGGGGTCTGCGGGGGGGAGGGGGAGGAGGGTTTGGGGTGGGGGGCGCACCGCGTGTGAACAGGCTGCTCCTGGAAGTCAGGCTGTTCAAGAGATTTTCTGATTAACCAAGAGGCTTTTTCTGAAGAAACAGGCTGTTCCTGAGTTGACCAGACCAGGCCGAACCAACGCGACAGTAAAGTGGCTGAGTAAAATTAACTCAGAGGTGGATGTCAAACAGTCGATTTTAAATGGTAGAAGTTGTGCTGGTAGTGCTAGGACATCATTAAGGTGCCTCGTATAGCCGTTGTGAAACGACTTCACGAGGAGTTCACCCTTTTCTTCCGCTCGTTGAAACGTTGAACCCCGAAGAGAAGCAATAAGGACAGCTGAGAGTATTGACATGACGGTTCGACTTGAATTAGATGCCAAGGAATCTAATGTAGGTGCGAAATCCCCGATCCTGCTTCCGACCCTGCTTGCTCGCCCTACGCTGACTCTAGCACTATGGTCACTAAATCGGGATAAGTCACGCGGCACGCCACAGCAACCCTAGTCGTTATGACAAGCAGGAAAATGTAATGTACAGATTTTGCGGATTTGCGTCCGGCCTGACATATCCCAAACACCAAAGCGAGGGCGGACTGAGAACCGCCTTTTTCTGTTAGAATGAGAAGGATGGTTGCACTAGGAAGATCGAGAGTACAAGTAGGAAAAACCTAGAATTGTGTACCCCCTAAGGCTAAACCCACTATAGCCTACAGAACTATAACATATATAATGTTTGACACACCCCCATAGGCAAAGTGGGGGAGAGCAAAGGGGGTCACAAGACCAGTCAAGAAAGGCAAAGCAAGCTCAGGGTGGATCACAAAGTCACCACACACTCTGAGCACAGGCAAAGGGCCACAAGGCCAGTTCACATGCAGAGGCATATATGCAACACAAACAGCACAGTGATCTCTATCTAGCAGTGCAAACATGCAGGTATATAAATATAGATCACAGTACAAGCAAAGCCTACAGCAAGTGAGGAAAAGTGGGCACAAGCCCTAGCAAAGTACAGAAACGCTGATGATCACCAGATTGAAGTGCCTTGGTGAATATATCAGCAGTGTTGGCCTGAGTGGCCACGTAACGCAGACGAAGCTGACCACGCTGCTGCAACTCTCGAGCCAGGAAGTAACGTAGAGCGATGTGCTTCGTTCTGTGCTCCAGTCTGTGCTCCTCACACAAGGCAATGGCAGCCTTGTTGTCGACGTACAGCACTGGAGGAGAACGAGGCCGCTCTCCCAGGTCGGTCAGCAGGTAGGTGAGCCAGCGTAACTCCTGTGCAGCCATGGCTGTGGCGTAGATCTCAGCCTCACAACTGGAGCTGAGAACTGAAGACGAACGTGTAGAACGCCAAGAAACTGAGCCAGAGCCAAGGCTGAAGGTGTAACCTTGTGACGACCGCTGAGTAGCCTGGTCGTCAACCCAAGAAGCGTCTGAGTGCCTAGTGAGAACAACTGAGCTCCTCCCTCCAAGCACGAGCCCCATGCCCGATGTACTGCACAAGCAGCGCAGTACCCTCTTTGCAGCATCCCAGTGCACCTTTCGGTGCCTACCAGGAGCCACGTAGCGGGCCAGAAGGCCAAGAGGGTATGCTAGGTCAGGACGAGTGCACGTCATCAGGTACATGAGGCAGCCAACTAGCTCTGGGTAAGGACCACTCGGCTTTACGGACTCATCCAAAGGCAGAGCTGAGAGCGAGTGACCTGTAGCCAGAGGAGTGGCCTGTGCTGAGGACCAGGTGAAGCCGAAGCGCTGAAGGACCTGCTGCACCATGTGTGACTGAGTCAGTATGATGGTGCGGCGTGCTCTGTCCCGGGTGATCTGCAAGCCAAGGTAGCTGCGCAGTTCACCCAGGTCTGTGCACGTGTGTCTCTTCTGCAGCTCGGACTTCACGTGGGCGAGAGCCTCAGTATCAGCAGTGGCAAAGACCAAGTCGTCGACGTACACGAGGATGTAGAACGGCGGCAGCGACGTGTCGGTGCGCAGAAACAGCGACGGGCCAGCAGTAGAAGGCGCGAACCCAAGAGCCGCAAGAGTAGTCCTCAGTGTGTCGTGCCACTCACGTGGCGCCTGGCGGAGACCGTAGACCGGCCGCCGGAGGCTCCACTGGGTACCAGGGGGAAACGACCCAGTGAAGCCAGGAGGGCGGCGCAGCCAGATCTCCTCATGCAGGCTGCCCTGCAAGAAAGCTGTGCTGAAGTCAAGAGAGTGAAGCTCGTAGTCACGCTGAGCGGCAACGTGCAGTAGCACCCGAAGAGTGGTCATCTTCGGGGTGGGGGAGAAGGTCTGAAAGAAGTCCACTCCCTCTTGCTGACTGAAGCCTCGAGCAACGTAACGAGCCTTGAAGACATGCGGAGAACCTGGCGGCCGCTTCACCCTGAAAATCCACATGCCACTGACGATGTTCGCCCCAGGAGGGGGAACCTCGTCGACGTAGGTGCCAGTGGACTTCTAGGATGCCATCCCTGCGTCCATGGCTGACTGCCACTGAGAGGAGTACTCACCCGCGATCGCCTCAGCGTAAGAGCGCGGGGTCGGGATGTCTGGAGCATCCGGGTCTCCCTCAGGGGCAAGTAGCATGGACACGAGATGAGGCGCAGCGGCTGCAAGACACTCAAGGTCCTCATGTCTGTCCTCAAGGACGTCCGTGCCTAGAGCACACTCACCCCCGACGGACGGAGGACAGACAGACTCAGACTCAGCAACAAGACTCGCGGCGTAGTCTAGACGACAGTGAGCAGCAAAATCGACAAGCTCAGCAACTAGGTCAGACGCAGCAGCAGACTCAAAGGAAGGGTCAGTGACAGCAGTGGCCAGGAGACGCGTGACAGTAGGACTGGCAGCGCGAACCCGGTCAGACTCCAGGTCAGCAAGGACAGGAAGAGAGGACGCAGGAGGAGACGGCAGAGGGACACGCAGTGGAGCAGTGGAAGGACGCAGAGTCATATAGTGTGTGCCAGAGATAGGTGGAGGACGCTCACGCGGAGCACGGCGACCAGAGCGAGCAGCACGAACAGGCGACACAGGACGAGACTCAGGCGACACAGGACGAGACTCAGGCTCACGACGCTCTGTAAGACCGCCTCTCGGACCAGTGTAGGGAGAAGGATCAGGAAGTGGCGAGGCAGGCGGTAGCTGTGACTGCGACTGGACAGGCGGAGGACACTCTAAGGAGGGAGCAGGACAAGGAGGAGGCGGCGGACCAAGAACCTGCTGGAGGAGTGGAACGAAGTACGGTCGCGGCCGTGCAGTGCCCCCAGAACCAGTAGAGACAGCACCAGAACCTCCAGCAGCAGCTCCAACTCTTGCAGCACCACCAGCAGCTCCAGTACCTCCAGTAGCACCAGCAGCTCCAGTACCTCCAGCAGCACCAGCAGCACCTCCAGTAGCACCCCCAGTTCTAGCAGCTCCAGTACCGCCAGTACGAGCACCTCCAGGACCAGTGGCTCCAGCACCTCTAGTAGGCACAGCGCCCTCAGCTCCAGCTCCAGTAGCACCACGGAGGCGGCGACAGTACCGAGAGTACCACTCACGCAGCTGCTGGGAAGAGAGAGCACCCCCAGGCGCAGTACCCCCAGGCTCAGGACCTCCAGACTCAGCACCCCCAGTCTCCGCACCCCCAGTCTCCACACCCCCAGGCTCAGCACCCCCAGTCCCAGCACCCCCAGACCCAGCACCACCAGGCTCAGCACGCTCAGTAACTCGCGGAGGACCAGAGTCGACAGCTACCTCGACAGGCTCGACCGGGTCTACCTGGGAAACACCTGAGGGAGCAGGACCCTGGGGAGGAAGGGGATCTACCAAAGCAGCACCTGGCGTGAGGAAGAGTGGCGGGGGGGGGAGCGGGGCAGTGCGGTAGGGGAAGAGACGGTAGAAGGGGACCGACTCGTCAAACGTGACGTCCTGAGAGGCGAAGACCCTGCGCGAGGTGGGGTGGTAAAACTGCCAGCCAGGCGCGTCAGGGACAAAGCCAAGGAAGACACAGGGAGCAGCGCGGGCGGAGAGCTTGTCCGCGGACGTATCGCGGACAAAGGCACGAGATCCCCAGACCCGGAACGCAGACGCATCGCCAACCTCTCCCATCCAACGCAGTGTCGGCGAGGTCTCCGGAACGGAGACACGGGGCCAGAGGTTGAGCTGATGCGCGGCGTAGCGGACCGCAAACGGCCACAGAAAATGGGGGGCAGCTGCATGGACCAAGGAGGTACGAGCGACCTCCATGACCAAGCCAAT